AGCATCCATCAATATCTGCGCCGTGTCTCCTCAGGTGGTCAGTAGTACACGCACAGTAGCCATTCACAAATGTGTGCTGTGCTCCCATGGGAATTCTGGGGGAGGGTAAAAATAGTCCAGAGTTCCAAATGGGTGCCTTTCTCAGAATTTCTGTCCCTCAGCATGTTTCCACCATAGACTGTATAAAAACATGGACGTAGTGTCCGTGACGTCACCCGTAGGTTTCTGAAGAGCGGTTTTGAAGCTCAAAGTGGGCGGAGCCGGCCGTCGCCATCTTGGCAGAGCATCACCACGCGTCACTCCCGGATAATCGATAATGGGCAAAGAGGCGGGAGCTGGTTGCTGAAGCCACGCCCACCTAGCTCGACGGTGGACCTTTTGGAGCCAGTCGATGAATTGCAGTTTTAGTCACTTCCATGTTGGTTTCACGAGAGAGACCGGAAGGTTGCCGCTTGGTTTCCACGGTTGAACTTGTCCTCTGAAGCTTCTCTATTCTTTTATCATCTATAAACACTGTGGCCTCAACCATGAAATTATTATGGCTGAGATAAGAATGTGGATATTGTGTTTTCATTTAAAGCCTGTCTGGGTCGAAATCATTTGGGTTATGCTGTTCTTTTCATTTCATCAAGAGAGTGCAGAAGTTATTAGCCAAGCAAAGTCTCCAAGAGTCTTTCATTTTTAGATGGCTTAGGCATACAGGGTGTAGACTTCTTTACAGCAGCCCACAAGTCCATGTCTTCAGTTAATTTAAGTTTATTGCCACATCAGCTTCACAGGTTATTTCATGGCAAAGATTATACATTAAAAACATAGTAGAACACAAAATACGAATACAAACATAAATAAATGAATAAGAACAATTATAAAAAAGTATTACAAAGACATTTCTATAAAAGATATTTCAAATTTACTTTTGAAATAAATTTTAAGATTTTCAACTCCATATCTTCATGGCTGCGTAGAAATTTCATGGTTTTTAAGGAATGTCCATGACTCAAGCTTTTTCAATTATACACAGAGATATTTAAGCAGAAACAGATGGGAGGGAGAGAGAGAGAGAGAGAAGGAATAGGAGGGAGTGAAAAAAGAAATAAAAAATCCTATTCAATGATTCACAGATGCGTATTCAAAACAAGGTCGACCAGTTTTTGTAACAAATTGAGTCTTTTTTACCTCAGACATCATTATTGTCCCCAGTAAACATCATAACTTCCCTTACCAGCCTAGTGACCTACAGGAGGTCATGTCATAGCTTAAACACACTGTGTAATGACCCTGTATGTCAAATACACTGTCAGCTTGAATTAATGTTCAGTTCGGTGCCTCCAAATCCAATTATTTGTTAAAGCTACTGTGGATCTTTTCTATGGGAACAGCAAATAGTTCTCATGCACCCCACAATGAGACAAGAAGCACAGGGCCTCTGTTAATTATGTTTGAGAGAGACTGTGGAAGTCTCGTGTTTAAACATCAGCCTTTTAAGGCCGGCTGATGTCCAACAGGTTTTTAACGGTAACTGACCTACACAAGTCATTTTAGGAAGCAGCTATAAAAAACTAAATGAAGAAGTGATAAGAAATATGTTTACAGGGGAAGCAATGAGCTAAAATGTTTACACTATATGACATTTGTAGGAGGGTCATCCATAATTCTCAGTAGCACTGTCTTCTAAATGACTGCTGCCAGTGTTTTCATGGAAATATAAGGTATAAAACATGGTACGTAACTTACACATAACTTTTGCACAGCATGTAGAAAATACAAGTATAAATACTACTAACTACATACTGTGGTCACAAAAAGTATATGTATGCTAAATCCACACTTTAAAAGACCTTGGGACTTTAATACAAAATACAAATGTTAAACAATCATTCAAAAGTTTGGGGTCAGTTTAACCTTTTTTAAGTTAATATAAAATTAATCTTTTTTTTTTTTTAGCAAAGACGCACTAAAACTGACCACAAAAAGTGTCAAAACAATTGTATAAAAATTTTTTTTTTTTTTAAACGTGTAAAAACAAATTAATAATGTTTACGAAAGATTTCTAGTTCAAATGTACTTTTTATTCATCCAAAAAATCATGAGAAAATATATCATGGTTTCCACAAAAATATTAAACATAATGGCTAACTGAGTAACTTCAAAATTCACTGTACGCATTTATACAGAAAGAACCTTGCAGGTTTAAAGTTTTTTTTAAAGTCTTGTGGCTTCAGAGACTGTTACATAATGATCCAGACTGTCACACAGGTTACATGTAAGAGGAGGGCCTCACTATCAGCTACAGGCCAGCAGACAGAATTTAATGAGAAACAGGCAGGTGCGTTTGAGCAACACTCGAAAGAGAGCTGGACTGCTGAAAGCCTTATTCTTTCTTCATTTTTACTTTCTAAAAGCATTTCTACAAACAATTAATGAAGAATAAGAAACAAAAGGGCAATACAGACAAAAACTAGAAAACACATAGCCATTAAAATCCTACAAAGACACACTGACACAGTGGCTACAAATCATATTTGGACAGTTAAGCCACAATTGTTGGTTTGATACTTTATTACCAATGCAATAAAATTCATACATTTTTAAGTGTGAATTAAAAGTTGAAATACCTTTTAGGGAAACTGTCCATTAGAAAATGACCAAAGCTGTTATATAGCGAGACTTGTATCACTGTGAAAAAGAAGTAATGCGGGTCTGGCTGCATTAGAAGAGTTTTGCCACTTACAAGTCATAACCGTACGTGTGATTATTTATTGGCATTTACTCAGTCTGTTTAAGATTTTAGTCTGTAACATGCAATTCATGCAAGTTTGTCTCTGTTAGGATATTGTGTAATATTGACAGGCGATGACAGTCCAAATGTGCAAGATTATTTACACTGACTGCTGTGAGACTTGCAAACTGAAAAGCAATAAACCAACTACATGTGCAATGCCAGCAGCAGTGTCAGTCTCATTAAATTCTCCTCACTGTCCATGACACGTTTTACTGGGCTGCAATACGAAAAAAAATTATTTTTGTTATAAAATCCTCAAAGTTCATTATATTAAAAAAGCATTTACACAGACATAAAAATTAATATATAAGCTGCTTCTACCTTAAAATTGTTCCATTGGGATGCAAAGAAATCCCGTCACTTTTTTGTCTTATGTACACACATACAGTATACTAAAAAAGTATTGGTACCTGTCATTTCCGTACATTGTCTTAACCTGTAATCACAAATGACTGTGATTGGTTCATCATGACCAGTGCTGATGAAAGCAACAGGAAAAACATGACAGCATCATTATGAGTGCATCTATATGGAGAAGAATTATCATTCACCATACATATGGAAGAGTTTATGAAATAGTAGAATCATTACGCGTTTCTATGACAATCTGTTGTTAAATTCTGTTTGGCATGAACAGACTGCAGCTTATTTGGGTTTCCTCTGCATAGAGTGAGTGCATATACCATCACAGAGAGAGGAGTGCATGTGAGCTGAGAGTGCATATCTGCAGCCAGACTCTACTGGGGGCTTGATGAAGCAGGAAAACTGCTCACACAAAGAAAAGACTTTGGCTAATATCAAATGAAGACAGAGTTTTGATTTACACATGAATGTCCCCCACTCAGCTCAAATGTTCCTTTACCTTAAGAAGTTTAATAAAAGTTACCCTCAAGGGCTTTTCTGTCCCTTCCCGTCATAAGCCCTTAAAAGCATGTTGTGAAATTTACAGGAATCCCATACACCCCCCAACCAATTAGCCAGACTGAAGGCTCTGTCTGCTGATGAATACATGGGAGCGTAGGCCCTCGAGGAGTGACCATCAGTATGTTAATTTATTCATTTCTCAATTTTACATAACAATTAGTAGGCTTCTTTTGCATGCATGCCAGGGCTCTTATTTACTTTTCACAGAGACATTGCTAAAGGAAGAGTGACGAGAGAACACCATCACACACTGAAAACTAACTGATTTTTGTGCACGCAAATAAACCAACTCATTAAACTCTAAGCATTCTGTTCAATATAGGAAGAAAATCCAAAGTTTATGAATGCTATTATGATTTTATCATCTTGTCATTTCCTCAGAACAGTAGGTAATAGGAATAAATAGATGTCAAAGCAGATGTGTCTCCAGACAAACAACAAATCCAAAAATAATGAACCATACAGATAGATAAATAGATAGATGCTTTGTTCAAAACTTCACAAAATCAACTTCATGCACTCATATGGAGATGCTGAAAGTGCACTAACAAAGATAGATAGATAGTCTTTCAGCACACCTGAATGACCTACACATCTCACTCTCTCTGCCTCTCACCTGCACAGCCTCTGAAACGCCACCAGATGACATTGGCGGCTAGAGGACTATCAAGTGTATTGAAAAGATGAGAAACCGCTACGTCACTGAAAATGGTGAGCATATGCTGGGTAAATTAAAATGCACAAGACGGGACCAGCAATAAATCACCTCCAAATATACAATATCCTTTTTTTCTGTTATGTAGGCTGTATTAAAACGTTATAGAAAATAAAACAAATTGAAAATGCATGCGTAATTGGCCATGTATGATAGAATTGATGCATGCATCGACACGGTCGAGGTTTCACCATGTGGTTATTCTACTACGTGGCGAACTTCTAGATGCGCAGCGTTGTGTTCGCCACAACGCACAGTATGCACAGCTTCGTCAGCACATCACTGCATGTGAGATATAGCGTCTACTTCGCACTATGCCTGTATTATAATACAACCCTCTCGGAGAAGCGTAGCTAAAAAAAAAAAAATTTGAAATACGCCGTGCTGCGTAAATGATTAAATCCATTTGTTCGGACAGTGATGCATCCCTATGTTTGTTTACTAGATCAGCACATGCCTGTGGAAGAGCAGCTACGTCTTAACTTCCCAACTCACACAGCAAAACGTCTTCTCTGCCCTTTTTCATGTCGGAGGAACAGCCACTGCTTCGATAGGATGGTGAAAGGATGGTTTCCTTACCTTGCAGTATGCATCCTCCCCCTTGGCTGGTCGGCAGGGTAAAAATCTGTTATTTTCTGCCGCTAAACCTTAAACATCCCTCAGCGTCACTGTGTGCTGCAGCCAAGGCAACCAACTCTCGCGATGTTTGGCGTTTCAGGTGTCGACGGAGTGTGAGGAGACTGGGCCGTAGCCTGGGATGGTTGTAAATACAGGGGTTCATAAGTACTAATAGGAATCGTTAATTTTTGAACGGCATCATTGACGATTCCATTAACGACTTTTAGTAAATTTTGGGGAAATGATTCTTTGCAATGTAACTCTACAAGGAGCCCAGAATACCAAGCGATGACACAGGGTGACATTCTTTTTTTTTTTTTTTTAAATCCTACTATTATACTAAAAATTTCAGACATATTTAAAGGGGTCATATGATGCTTTTTTAAAGATCATTATTTTGCGTATTTGGTGTAACAGAATATGTTGACATGCTTTAATGTTCAAAAAACACATTATTTTTCAAATACTGTACATTATTGTAGGTCCTCTATGCCCCGCCTCTCTCAAACGCTTCGTTTTCTACAAAGCCCCCTCCTTTGAGACTTTAGTCTTTGCAACTTCAGGGATCTTATCTATGCACAATCAGCTTCTAACACTCCAAAGAGAAAGGAAAACTTGAAATCGCATCATATGACCCCTTTAAATAAAGAAACAGTTCTTGGTTATTTTGAGTCAGACATGACAAAATAAAAACTAAGTAGCCTACATGTTCGGTAGATTTGTGAGTCACATTAATTCAGTTATTGCTCCGACTATTGAATTTATTTCATTTGTTTTTGTTATTTTATATATTTTAATGCTTTAAAGAGAACTGGTTCATGCAAGTAATTTGTTCGAGAATTGAACACTTGCATTGCACATTTTTCATTCACTAAAAAGAACTGGCTCATAAAATTGATTTTGTAAGTCCTCATGAAATATTGCTTACAACCTGCTGGATGTGGTTAGTATTAGTACCATAAAACACAGGCAAATATACTTATGGCCCACTTTATGCTTCCCAATTTAATTATAGTCACAAACGACACAGTTTATTCACGAAAGACCACAACAAAAATATAAGCAATCAATCATTTATTAAAGAATGGGCATGTAGTGGTGTGACGACAGTAGTTTAGAGTTTTTATTTTTGAATTTTTGCATTAATGTTTGTGAAGACATGGATATGATTAGTATATTAATATGCATAATGTGCTCATGTTACATGTAATAATAGTAATGTACTATAGCAGAAACTGTGTAAGATGTTCCACAACATTATAATCATAAATACATGATGATCATGACTATAATCTGTATTTACTCATGTAAATGACACCATAATGAAATTGTAAAATGGGACTTTAGCTTATTTAAAGGGAGGTTACAGATTATGCAGTCAAAACTGTTTACCTTTATGTAAGTGACAGAAAAAAAGCAGCATGTGCCAAGCAGTCCATCACTGAGAGTGCTAACATGACATTGTTGCCGAAGAGACATCATGCTCATTTGTTCACTTCTAAAGTGCAACATGTTGGCAACATAACAAGCGAATCAAAACTTCAGTCTCCACCTGACACCTTAATTTAAGTTGGTATGCTTCATGCAAAAAAAAAAAAAAAAATCCTCCACAAATACATACGTATTTCTTTGTTTAAAGCTCACATTCAGAGGCAGATTTAGATTCAAAGTTACATGTACAGTGAGAGAGGTTTGCCATTCTCCTGATGGATTGTTGCATTGTGACTGTGTGCACAGGTGTGTGTGTATCTGGTTATTAGAGTGCAGGGTAATTAGGACAGGTATACATTTTGTATTTTATTTATTTTTTTGTTAGGGTTGTAGATTCACAGGTCGTCAGTCTCCCCATCAAATGGTATAGTATCCAACTCCATGTGAATGCTGCCTGGTTCACCACTGCCCCCCCAGCCGATGGGTGTGCGGTTGAAAGAGGGTCGTGAACCGATATCATGATGGTACACCACTGCCGGTTCAGGCTCCTCAGTGGCCACCTCGATGTCTGGCAGCTGGAAGGTCATCAGCTGTGTGGCCTTCTCAAAACCTCCATAAGGCAGAGCACTCCTAAAAAGAGATTGACCAATTAAAGGCAAAAAGGAAACCATAGGTCTGACAAAGTACTATTGTTGCATGCAAAGGAAAAGAGGAGAGGCAGATTGTCCAGCCTATATCAAGAAATGCAGCTGCACCTGTTGAAGCACTTATATTTGCTCAGCTCCTTTTGAGGGCAGGGTCCTGGCATTTGAGCCTTCATTGTGGCTACAAGTTCTTCATTGCCCTTCATAGCCCGTTCCCAAGGGGAAACGTATGTATTCACATATGCGGCCCTCTTTTTTGCTTTTTCCAAAGCAGCCTTAGAACGTTCCTCACCTATAGAGAAATATAAACTGATTGAAAGTAAATGCATTCCATTAGTAAAAGCGTGAGTGTTCCATTAGTTAAAGACATAGTTCACTCAAAAATTTAAATTCTGTCTTCTATCATTTACTTACCCTCATCATTCCAAATCTGTATGTCATTAGTCAAAAAAAAAAAAAAAGGATTGTAATGACATGAGGGCGAGTATTTAAATTTATGGGAAAACTGTCCCTTTAACAAAAAAAAATATTTTAGTATTATTTATTTACTATTAGAATTTCCATTGGCTTTATTTGTATAGTTTATATTTTCATTTTAGTTTAATTTGTAGTCATTTTTGTGCTTTTGCAATTTTTATAGGTTGGTTTAGGTTTGGTTTGGTTTTTTAATAGGCTTTTATTTTATATTTAGTTTACATTTTAATTGTAGTTTCATTTTTTAACATTTTGTAATATGCTTATGTCATTTTTATTAGTTTTTTATGTTTTAAAATATTGCTATGTAGGTTTCATTTGTTTTTATTTCGGTTTTAGTTTTAATTTTACTGCTTCAACTTAAACTTCAGTTGCCAAAGCAACATTTCAAATTTTCTATTAGTTTAAGTTTTTCATCTAATATATGTTTTTTATTTTATTTCAGTTTTTAATACACTGTAAAAAAAAATCCATAAATCTAGGGCTTCTTTTCTTTTCTTAAATCTTTTACAGGTGTTTTACCTGTAGTTTGAATTTTGCACTTCATTACATTGTGTTTTACGGTTAACGGAAATGGCCATAAAATTAATGAAATAATGGCAGAAAATCACCAGGAGTTTTTTTACTTTTATTTATTTTTGTTTGTTTGTTTTGTTTTGTTTACAGAGTAGTTTTAGTTTTAGGTAACGATAATAACCCTGTTTAAAGGGGTCATATGATGCGATTTCATTTTTTCCTTTCTCTTTGGAGTGTTACAAGCTCTTTTCATGGTGAGTCTCCATGGCAGTTTCTAGTGTGGGTGAGCTGGCTAGTGTATAAAGGTCTCCATCTGGGTTCCTACTCACTCCGTGAGGCATCTCCTGACACACCATCCTTCCCCCCTGCTCCTCCTGCCACTCCAGCAAGCCCACCTGCTTGCAGCCCACCCCCTGCTCCCTTTCCATAGCTTCCGGGTTTAGGAGGAGGCACTGGTGCTTGGCCGGCTCCACCAGCCTGGCCAGCCATCTGTCCACCAATCAGGCGGCCACCAACATCCATCATCTGGCCCCCTAGGCTGGGCACGAACTTTTGGAGGTTATCCTTGACACAGAGTGACATAATAATTAGTGGAAGAGTTTCCAAATCAGCATTCAAATCACGCTTGGAATGTTACATTTAAATTAGAAATAAGAACTTGGCCAGAATAAAAAATCAGAATAGGATGAATGTAGAACACTGAGATTTAGGAATAATGATAATTTAAAGCAAATAATCTGACAACAAATACACAGATGTTGATAGCTCTTTGCCTGCCTTACCATGGACTCACTACTGAAGAGGTCAGGATTATTCTCATAGATGAACTTCTCCACACGAATCTGCCTCATCTTGAACATCTTGGAGCCTTTGTTCTTCATTAGGGATAGTTCCTCCAGCATGATATCCTTGGGTGCCCTGATCTTTTTCCCCAAGTCAAATTCTGAGGCCTCAGGCTCTGATTCATACTCTAGGAAACAAAAAGAGTCGTTATTCACTAATATGCTAGTTTTATGTTTATCATTTAATGACAGAATTCTGAGTCTAATTCCTTTACAAAACACCACAATCAATTTTCTGATCAAAAGTATCTGGCAAACTGAAATGAAATGTATATTAACATAAAGTGCAATCAGCATTGTAATACTCTATTGGTTCACATGTATTTTAACTGTGCGTGGTATTATCAGAACATGCTTGGGAAGAAAAAAAAATGTCCCGGATTCTCTAGTATCAAGTGTCGTCATTCATATTTATACAGATGTATCTATTTTTCCTGCATTGTAATCATAACAGTAACTAAATAGCTATTAGTCATCCTACCACCCACTGTTTGTGCTGGAAAATCACCCACAGTTCCTTGGAAATGTTCATAACAGTATTAATATGTAAACAATAAAATCATTTGAACGATATCAAGTCTATGCAGTAGATTTAGCATCCCTGCATGGAATAAGTTACTGTTTCCTCATATCAAAATAATGCTGCCTTAAGGAAAAACATTTAAACATGTATCAGGATTGCAAGAGTCTCTCCATTCTTCCACAACAACAATTTTTCACTCACATTCAAAAGCATGAAAAAAGAACATATCAATTAGACTTAATTTCGGCTGGAGACACTTATGTAATGTTCTTTCAGTGGAGTAAATGTCCCATGATTATAATGATGAAGGGGAGGGAGAGGTTCTCCGGTAATAATCAGAGACACAGCTGACATTTCAGCTATGAAATCTACAAGATACATGTTGTTGCTGACATATTTCTCCTCATTAAAACATATTAAATCCAAAAGCATGAAACCTTAGTGACAGGCCCTGAAATGAAGATGATGTTCCCAATAAACAGTTTGTGAAACCTTATAAGATTGAGCGGGTTGTACACTGTCTGTGTTATGGCATGTCCATAGTCTAATCTCTTTAATAACATCTTTCAAAGAAGACACCTTCTCACCTGTCAGGAAGGTTAAACAAACACACTCTTTAATTATATGAAAATCCTCTTATTTAGTCCCAGACCTTAGTATCATGTTATTC